ACGCATATACCACTTGTGCTGTGAGAGATACCAAGGATGAGGACGGCATTGTTACTTTTAGATCAAAATGAATACATCAATTAGCTCCGTCCTATACAACATCCTGAACTTACCGGTGCCGACGCTGACGCTCAGGCATCCAAGATGGTTCCAGACATGTTCGTCAGCCTCCGAGTCGCGTTGGCGAATGCATTTATCAGCCAGGTGTGGTTGATGGTGTATGTTGTATCTCTTCAACTTGTCCAAGAATCGACCAATATACAAGTGCGACGACTGAACGCGATCAGCAGGAAGCTGCAGACCTGCCCCAAGAAGATCGTCTATCAGGCGATAACTCCTACGAGCGAGGTCGACCTACACAGCGACTCAGGTTACCGACGCCTGACTGGAGACGCTGATGGCGACGTCAAAGGCTATGGTATTCGCGGGGCAAACCTGCTACGGCGTGGAAACACACCATCTGAAAAGCCAGTCGTCCATTTGCTCGATGCGTACTGCGAGTCTCACCGTTTGCAGGTCCGCTCGAGTTACTCAGCAGAGACACTAGCAGCCGCCCACAATTTGGAGGGCTGTTCTCCCGCGATCGTGACTCTGCACGAGCTCCACGCAGAGCCGCCCACTCCAACTCAGTTGAAAGACATACTTGAGTTGGGTGGCTGGCCTGAGCATCAAGGTCACTTTGGCCATAGATGCTGAATCTGTTTTGAAGTCCTTGTCAAGCAATGACTTGAAGCCGACTGAGTGTACCCTGCTAGGACACATCAGTTGGATCCGACAGATGATGGAGCCCGGAATCGTGCACAGTATTCAGTGGTGCGACACCCGCGATATGATCGCGGACGGTTACACCAAGGGGAGCATCGACAGAGAGATGCTCCTACAGGTCATGGGCGGTATACAAGCCTTCAAACATAACTTAAAGAGTCATACTCCCTATCGGGCTGGCCAGACTTCCTGTTCTGTAGCCGCCTGAGGAGTATCTTTATGTACTGTTTGGTACAGGCAAGGCCATTTGCGTGCGGGTCCACCTTCCTTACGGCCCCGCCCTCTCGCTGTCCTTTTGTAGATGGTAGCTGCTGTGCCTGCTTTATAGGCGCGGCGGACTCACGCTTCGTCTCCCCCACCCGACTCTAAAGCGAGCTGGGGGCGCAGGGAGCGGAAGCGAGCGTGTGCACGCGGCCGCGTCGGCTCGAGCGGCCGGCCGCCCAAATGTGACTGCGCCTCATTGCGAGGCATATTATTCGCCATCGCGACCAGGAGGATCTTCCTACTGCTTAGGATGGCACGCCTTCTACTACTGGGACTATCGTTACTACGGTACAACTGAGCTGGGGCTGGGCTTCGCCAAAGGCGAAGCTGTTGGTTGGGCCTCCCAACCCCTTTGTGACTTGGGCTTCGGAACGCTTCAAAAGGAAATGGCGCTGGGCAGGCGAAGCGGCAACACAGGACACGGTAATTGTTGTGGGAAGTTACGGATTGGCGCGGCGCTCAGTGGCAGGCCGCTGCCAACGAGCTCGGAGCACTGCGTCTCTGGAGGCCGTCTTCGCGAAGGTGGTTGCGGCTCGAAGATTGTATCAATAAGTTTTGCAACGATTAGGGCTTGGGGGAATGGCGTGCGTTGACAGCCGGTGAGCATTGGCGCCAACACCAGCGGGAATTTGTCGCTTGGGCTGCGGAGGCCAAGTTCGATGACTGAGTTCACCCCCGGGGTCCTGCCCTTAGTGGGCCAGCTTTGCAGTTAGAGCTTGCTCCTTGCTCCTTGCTCCACCGTGGCACATCTCTTGCATGTTTTGCGGCCCCATCCACCGAATGCCCCAGTGGTAGGAACCGCAAAAGTCTCCAGGCCCATTCGGTCCCTCCGCCTCCCCATCCTTTTTCCCGCTCGATTCGCGATGCTCACAGCTGCATCTGGTTGGGTCTTTCGCCAGGCTAATTTTCAAACGCCCCGGGAAGACGGCAGGATAGCTTTCTGGGGGCCCTGCGGCGCGGCTCATTGTCTACCTCCTCGCGTCCCTGGCGCCTATTCGGCTGCGTGTGGTGGTCTTCTGCGAACCCTTTTGCCGTGTTGCGGTCCCTGTGGCTTCCTATGCCGTTCATGTGGCCCAGTTGGCTCCTTGTGTGCGTTCCTTGAAGGCTTGTTCAAGAGGCTTGCGCCATTCCGCCGACCCCTCGAAGGTTGGAGGTCCACGGTGGAGGCGTGGTGGGCTTCTTGGGCACCATCTGGAGACTCCTGTGGGGTTCAAGGAGCTGTTCGGGGGCTGGTGGGCGGTGGGGCCTCTTGGGGGCAGTTTTGAAGCGTGTTGGGGGCTGTCCTGGGGCCTTCTTTGGGCCGCTTTGGGGCTTCTTGGGGTGGCCTTTTGGGGGCTTCCTGGGGCGGAAGGATCGGATTTTCGGTCCGTGTTCTCACTCTCGGCCTCTCGTGTGGGGCCTTTTATCGGCGTTCTCTGGCCGTTTTGGGCTCCTCAGTGGCCCGTCCTGGACCCCTCTGTGGCCCGTCAGGGAGCCCTCTTGGGCCGTCCTGGGGCCCTCGTGGGGGCCTCGTGGGCAGTCTTGGGGCAGTCAGCGGGGCCTTTTGGGCCGGCATGGGGCGTCGGAAGCTCGAGAAGACGAGAATCCTAAAAACAATGAACCACCGGGGGGGGGGCGTCTCGAAGGCGTCTTGGGGCGTCTTGGATCCATCGTAGGCGTCTCGGGCTAATCGTTCGGCGATTCTGGACCGTCTTGGAACAGCTTTGAGCACGCGGAAGGCAGATTTGGAAGCAGATTTGGAAGCTCCAGAGTCTTCAGGGGTGCGCCAAGGAGCCCGGATACCCCCCCCGCCCCCCGTAAAGAGATTTTGGGCCTCGGGGGAAGGGGCCGAATCAATCATCTGCAGAGAGAGGAGGCAGAGGAGGCAGAGAGAGGAGGAGGACGGAGGAGAGGAGGAGGAGGAGGAGGAGGAGGAGGAGGAGGAGGAGGAGGAGGAGGAGGAGGAGGAGGAGGGGGACAGCCAATCATCTCACACGAATGCTCGCCCCGGCAGGCCAGGGTCGGCAGATTTGGGGCATCTTGGGGAAACGTCAGTGGGGCCTCTTGAGCCGTTTGCGAAGTGGTCGTCGAGCGATCGCGCCGCCTGCCGACGGGCGCCTGGCCGTCCTTGACAACCTGGCGCCCGCGGACTTGAGCAGTGGCGCCTGTTGACACCAGTATGGGCAAGCAGTTGGAAGCAGGGGCCCTCCTGGATGCCAATGTGGGTGAAGCATCTTGCGTTGTCTTGTTCTTTACGTGTGCGGTGCGGCATCTGCTGGCTTAGAGAAGTGAAACAGAAGACAGTCACATTCAGAGATCCACCGAAGCTTGGACGATGGGGAGGGCGTCGTGGCAGGGGCAAGGGTTTCAGGGATTACACATAATCTTCTGAGACAGCTGTAGGCCACTTGCAGCTCAAAGGACCTGTAGGATTCACTCAGACGTATTGTCTTGTGATGAGCGGCGGTGCACGAAGAACAGTGTCCCCTTCTGCCACCATGCCTCTTCGGGAGCGCAGAGTTTGCCGTGACGGCTCGCGCAGGGAAGAGGAACGCTGATGATGAAGCGGAACACGACGAGGACGGGGAGGATGATAACGACGACGAGGGAGAGCAAGCAGGACGGAAGCAGGCGCACGAGCAGTGCTGGGCAAGGGCAGGGGGGAGAGCGAGGACGCGTCGAGGGGCCGAGGTCGGCCGCTCGGCCGTTCTGGGGCCAGCCGAGGGAACGGTGCTGCTGCTCCGCGTCTGCCCCCCTCGCCGCGTGGAAGCTCTGGCGAGTCTCGAGAGCTTCCACACGGCGAGGGTCTCGAGAGCTTCCACGTGATTTGGGTGGTCGTGCGCGGCGTGCTTCCGGGCCAAAGGCTGGAGTCCACGACGCTCCTTGGCGTCGCTTTGATGCCGCCCCGCTTTGCCAGACCGCAGATGCACAGATGGGCACAATCGGTGTTTCATCGTTTGTTTCATGACCCTCTCTATAGGAACGGATCCACGTTGGAATCCAACTTGAGACACTCCTGGGGACATCTCAGATGTTTCTTAGGGCCATGTCGGGACACTCGTCGAGTTGTCTTTGTTCCACTGTCGAATGCTTCGCCTGCATGGGGCCTGGATTGCATGATAACGCCTTAAACATGTGGCTCGCTGTTGGATCGTTGAGCCAGCAAAGCCTGTGTACTCGAGACCGACATGTGATGATGGTCCCACGGATTGGGCGGGGATGAGAGGACGGCCTGGGAGGAAGGGAAGCGGGGAGGGAAGGATGGAGAGGGTAAAGGGAGGAGGGAAGGGGTGGTGGGGAGGGAGGCGAGATGCATTGAGGGGGTTGCAGGCGGACAGGACCGGAAGGGAGGGTGGCACCGAGCAAGTCGCCCTAACTCGCTATAGAGCGAATGCCGCCTGGCGCGTCGTTGGTGCTTGCCTTGAGCGCCCGCGGCAGAGTCACGAGACCCCAAGCAACCCATTTCACCGGCCCAGGCCAATTCCAGTTCTGGGCCCAGGAGCCTACAGTGGAGGCCCATGCCAAGAAACACCCTGCTTGCCTCCAAAGTGCCCTGGACTTATTGTTTTTTTCGATTGTTTGATTTAGGAAGGCGTGGGTTGGATTTCTCATGGAAGGTTTCTTGTGGAGTGGCCTCCACTGTAGGATCGGTGCATACGCTTGCCTGGCTGGTATCCCCTTACAGCGGGCCCGAGTGACGATCACGAGGAGCCAGAGGTCCCTCGAGGCCCGCGGTCGCCTCCTCAATCTCCCCAATGGCCCTGAGCGGCCCCGCCGAAAACCGCTATCGGGCTGGGGATCCCTTCTGAGGAGGCACAAGCTTAGGTCGGGCATGACCTCCTACAGGCGGAGTTTGAAAGGAAAAGCAGAAGCACCCAGCAATCATCAAACATAGCTCGAAATAGTAAAACAATCGTCCCCATTTTTTTTTTTTACCATTGTCTTGTTCTCTCTCTCTCTCTCTCTCTTTTTTTGAGTAGTCCTCCAGTGGAGGGGCATGCCCGACTTGAGTATAGGCCCTCCGAGGCCCGAGGGCCGCATGGCCTTCCGAGGTGCCTCTCTGGAGCCGTGTCGGGCTCAGACATGTAGCTCCGCGTGCTGGACATGGTCCGAAGACACCGCTTCCTTCGTTCTCTTAGGGTGCCGACAGCACGGCCAATTGGCCACGGCATCTACGGTCCAGGAGCCTTCGTGATAGCCATCCTTGGCGCAGTCCTCCAAGTCTCGCCGGCTCTTCAGTTGGACAGCCCTGCGGACTTCTCGTGCAACGTGGTAGGAGGAGAGGCAGTCTCAATAGTCAAGGGCCAAGCCCCCAAGTCTTTTGATGAAGCAACTGCGCGCCCTGTGGATGCGAGGAGTGGCGATTGCTCCTACAGGACCGGCAATTCGAAAATCGACACTGCCCAATGTTGTTGTCCGTTTTGGCCACATGACGCTGACCAACTGAAGCCCTTGAGTAGCCTGATGTTGCTCCCAAGCGAGCACAGTGCTACGATTAATCTGATGTCGTTGGAGGCGCGATACGATGCATCTGTGCATGGTTGTGTCGCATCGTTCCCATTCCACGCTATGAATCCCCCTCCCCACAGCTTCAATACAGTAGGGGAGCGCATTTTCGGGGACATGCCTGACGATGATATAGGACAAAGACGTGTTGCAGTTGTTGTTAGCGGCGCGCTGTCTGATCCGCACGAGCTCCTGAGCGATTCATTCCGTAATGTTGAACAGGATATTGTCAACCCCCTTCGACGCAATGGGATAACAGTCGATGTATTTTATCACATTGGTTATCATTCAGATGGTGTCATCCCGGCGGAATTGCCCTCATGGATTAAGGGATTGGTACTGGAAACGCCATATCGAGGCGTATACGCAATACGCTCATGTACCAATAGTGTTGCCGACGAGATGTTCAAGCAACTGAAACAAAGGAACCCTGCAGGGAGAGATTCAGCGTACAAAACCATGGGATTCATGCAACGGCACATATTTCTCGCGTATCGAATGGCTTATACGTATGCCCAGGAAAAGAAACGTGACTACCAATACGTTGTTCGAACTCGGCCTGACACGAAATTTGATAGCACCATTGACTGGCTTCATCTGGAGCAACGGCTGGCCGACGTCCCACTTCTGATTGGGGCGCAAACATGGCTTTTCAATCAACGCAAATCGGGGGTTGCAGTTTCTAATCGTTGCGTTGTTGACGACCAGTTTGCCGTCGGAACAATGGACGCGATGGGGGCGTATAGCACTGTGCTTCCCGATCTTCGAGATTTTGTCAGATTTGTTCAATTTTCCAGGCCAGACCTGAACGGACACACAAACGAACGCTTATTGACTGCTCACTTGCACTACCGTGGTGTCAATTTTACCGACATTCCTTTGAACTGGAGACTTCACGCTACGAAGGGTTCTCCTGACCGTCACCATCACCGTCAGTAGGCGCTGTGCCTTCATTGAACAGTCTCATATGTACCCCCAGTGTGGGCAGCATAGGTACCGTTCTGCGACCTCATCTGTTGCCTCTTGCCCTTGCTTCGTCACGTTCTGAAAGTACTTTTCCCACTCGTCCTCATACTTCCACTGTACCTGTTATCTTTCTCCCCTTTTCAATCCTCTACCACTCCTAATTCTTGTCATCTTTCCTACTATGATAGTGCTTTCTATTATGCTAGTGCTCTCGCGCCTTATCCCTCTTCTCATCTTTCTGCCCTCCCTTCGCTTCCCTTCGCTTGCCTCCTCTCCTCTCCTCTCCTCTCCTCTCCTCTCCTCTCCTCTCCTCTCCTCTCCTCTCCTCTCCTCTCCTCTCCTCTCCTCTCCTCTCCTCTCCTCTCCTCTCCTCTCCTTCCCTTCTTCTCGCGTTTCTTTATTGTCCCCCCTCCTTTTTTGGGTTATGCTCTTTGGGTTGGAGACTTGGTGCTCTTCTCCTCTCCTCTCCTCTTCTCTCCTCTCCACTGCTCTCCTCTCCTCTCTCCTCTCTTCTCCTCTCCTCTCCTTTCCTCTCCTCTCCTCTCCTCTCCTCTCCTCTCCTCTTCTCCTCTTCATTCCTTTCCTCTCTCGCCTCTCCCCCCCTCCATACTCCCTTCCCCGTACTTCCGCTCTTCAGCTAAACGTACAGTATCGCCATGTCGTGGGCCCCTAGTGAGACCGGCGGTCTGGCGCGATACGTGCATCTGTGTAACCATTTCCTGAGCCTTTGGGGAGCAGAGCAGCGCGACACGGGCATTTTACGTGAACCTCTCGTCCCGGCGCGCTGCCAAACGCAGACCTACCGCCACTTCCCTGGGTGCTACCAAGCATGCCCTTCCGGTTTGGCACGTCCCAGGTTTAATTTGAGACGCCAGGGTACCTCACCTAGTATTCCCACCCCTCCTTTCCTCCTCCAGAGGGCTCCTTGGTGCACTAGCGCGCTCCCGCTTGTAAACAGGCTATCGGTGGGCATGCGTATCTTGATGCTTGCGCGGCAGTCGCACGCGGTGAGTGCCATATGCCCTTGTGAGCGTGTCTGTGCTTTATCGTGCGCGTCGGCCAGGTTCTTGGCCGCGCACCACACCTAGATCGGCAATCCTGTTCGATCCCACCCCTCCTTTGGTTGGGCCGACGTTGTGAGTAGACAGCTGTCGCTGCTCTCGTCCTTCTTCCGCGCCCTCCCGTCCTTGTGCCTCGAGCGAGGCATGGTACTCTGGCACCCGAAGGGGGAACCGCTGGTGGGGATGTCGTTTCCCGTTCGCGCCTTGTTGTGGGGATATCCCTGACGGTTCGCTCGTTTCGAAGGGGTACATGTGTCCCTTGTCAGGCCTGCGTGATCTGTGCGATGCAGCTATATTATGTGGGCACCCCAAGGTGTAGCTGCCAGGGGTACCGCATTTTCCAGTCCGTGCTCAGCTTGGGTGGATCTCTCAGGAATTGCCCGTTCGGGGGTGTGGCCGCGTCTCTTTCCAGATCCATATGGTCGTCGAGATGAAGCAGGCATAGCATTCGGGCACCTCAATGGGGAGTTGTTCTCCCGTTCGTGCCCACATAGTGGGAATGCCTCGAACGGCTCGCTTGTTTGGGGAGGTGGATGTGGCACTCTTCAGGGCCGCATGACCGTCGCGATGTAGCAGGCATGGCGTTCGGGGGCCCCATGGGGATCCTCCCGGGATGTACATCCCGGGCCTGTTCGCGTTCATGTTGTGGTGGTGTCGTCCCTCCCGCCTCCCTCCCACAGACTTCTCATACTTCTAGTCGCTCGCACTCGGACTCAGTCACACTGAGACTCACTTGTACGCAGACCCAACCGCACTCAAATCCATTCATACTCAGCTGAGTTATTTCCAGACTCCTACACAGAGCAATCACAGTTATTCGCTCGCACCCATACTCGCACCCAATCACACTCATATTCACTCACGCTACGACTCACGCGCACTGTGCTTCACTCAGACTCAGCTTCACTACTCACGCTCAGACTCGCCACTCGTATAGACTTCGCTCACCCATGATCACGGCACTGTAGCAGGTATGACAATTGAGCACCCCATCGGGGGAGCCGACCAATACTCGCAATGCAGCAGGCATTACATCAAGGGGCAGCTCGTGGGGATATATTCAGCGGTTCGTTTACTCTTGGAGGTATATGTTTTGCAGCATGGTCACCGGGATGCAGCAGGCATTGCATCTGAGCAACCAAGGGGGAGCCGCCAGTGGGTATATTATGAGCCCGTTCGTGCCGAGGTTGCGGGGATGTCTCGATCGGTTCAGTTGTTTTTGACAGGTGCAAGTGTTTCTTTTCGGGGCCGCATGATCTTGGCGGTTATCCAGGCATTTCTTTCTGGGGCCTTTCTATTCAGAGCCGCATGATCTTCGCTGTGTAACAGGTAGCACATTTTGGGCTTCCAAACGGGAGTCTCACAGGTCCGTTCGCGCCCCAATGTCTCGAGCGAGTCCGTTGTTTTGGGAGGTAGACGTGTCTCTTGTCAGGACCGCACGAGCATGGCGATGTAGCAGGCATGGCATCTAGGGACCCGAAGGGGAAGCCGCCAGAAGGGTGCATCACGTTCCATTTCGCGTTCAGACAGTGGGGATGCCTCGGTCCTCACATTCTTGCAGGCCCGCCCATATTGAGGCACTCGTAGCACGGAGTCCGACAGAACAGGATGTGCACACGGGGATCTCCGCGTCAAACAGTATTTGCCCGGGCCACTGTGAGGAGGTGCGGGACACGGAGCTTCCAGGGTTGAGGAGGTGGGCGGCATCGCGCCTTCAGCTCCCGAACAACCTCACTTCCCTGAACCTTCCATGTCGCACGTTACACGTGCACGTGTTCCAGAACGTCGGGGGGCCGAGCCTGGGTGTTGCGGAGGCCTCCAGGCTGTGCCGCCGATCTGTGTCGCCCTGTGTATTCGAAGGAAATGGAGAGAGAGAGAGAGAGAGAGAGAGAGAGAAAGAGAGAGAGAGAGAGAGAAAGAGAGAGAGAGATATGACATAGAAAGAGAGAGAGAGAGAGAGAGACAGAGAGAGAGATAGAAGGATATGGATGGATCGGGAGAGTGACAGAGCGTTCGAACGAGAGAGTGATATATAGATATATAGAGAGAGAGAGAGAGTGAGAGAGAGAAAAAGCGATAGAGACAGAGGGAGAGAGAGAGAGAGGGATACCACTCACATACATACATGTATATACACAAATCGAGAGACAGAGAGAAGGAGATGTAGACATAGAGGGGAACGAGAGGGAAAGACAGACAGAGAAAGAGAGAGAGAGAGAGAGAGAGAGAGAAAGAGAGGGAGAGAGAGAGCGAGAGAACGAGAGAAAGAGAAAGAGATCTGATATAAATAACTACTGCCCCCCCCGGCCCCGGGTCCCACACCTCCGCGGGACATTTCGGGAACGCTCCCGGTACCGCTCCCCCGGCCTTTCCGGGGAGCCTCCCTAGCGCTTCAGGAGGGCCCAAGACACCTCCCAGGAGCCCCCAGAATGCGAAAGGATGGCACAAGACGCTCCCAAGGAGCCCAAGTCAGCGTTCCGACGGCTCTCGAGGCTCCCAGGTAGCCTCCAAGAGACCCCAAGAGAGGTCTAAGAGGCGTCCCGGGACGGCCCGAAGAGGCCAACGCGTTTTTGGCTTCTCGCGTTTTCGAGCTTCCAACGGTCCAAGAGCGCTGAAGCCAAGAGACCCTCAGGAAGACGGGCCAAGAAGGCTCCAAGACTGCCGAAGAGGCGCCCAGGACAGCCCCAGACCACCCCAGAACAGGCCCCAGATGGGCCCAAGAGCGGGAGCAGGAGGCTTCCAGAGTTCTCCGAGAGGCCTTTGGGACCACCCAGAGGCCCCCAACACACACCCGATCCCTGAGAGACCCCAAAAAGAGCCCGACGAGGCTCCAAGAATAGCCCAAGATAGCTGCGGTAGCCGTCCCGAGAGAGCCCAAAGAGGGTAATAACATCGGTGATTACCAATGGTTTTTCTAATGTTTTTCGCCTTCTCACGCTTTCCCGCTTTCAACCCTCGAAGATCGAGGATTTCGGGAAATAAAGGGAATTCCCAGTTTTTTTTTTCAAAGTGGACTCCTGCTCAGAGATCCCACACATCCCCGGACATTTGGCCGGTACCGCGCCTCCCAGCTTCCTGGGGGGCCCCCGTGACGCCCAAGACGACCCCAAGGAGCCCCCAGAACGTAAAGAACGGCCTAACGCGCTCCCGCGCAGCCCGAGACACTCTTCCGACGGCTCTCCAGGCCTCCAGGGGGCCTCCAGAACCCCCAGGGGCTCCGGAAGATCCCACACCCCTGAGGGGCCCGGCTAACAAAACCCGCGAGGCACAAACAAAAAACAGCGCCGAACAGCGCCGAGGAACTGGAACAGAAATGGAAATTTCACAAATCCTTGTTTTTTTCCCCAAATTTGGCTCCTGGTCTACTCTTGCGCAACAGACACAATTCAGACCCCCCTCACCTCCCAAAGAAGAACCCAGGAAGCCTTTGAGGGCCACAAATCCTTGAATACCTAAAGGAAATTATTATTTTCTGCGTTTCCGCAGGCTTGCGCAGGGCCTCCAAGGGAGTCTCTGGACGCAAGAAGCGACCAACATATTATTACTTGAGTTAGCTTATCAAGCCTAGGTAGAACTTGAGCGCGAGCGAAGCGCGCGCGATGGTTCTAGTACATATATATATAACAATGAATTCACAAACATACATCCGTAAGGGCTTCGCCCCCTGCCGCCGCCCCCCTCTCTATCACAATGGGATATAACATAGTCGCGCCGGTGCAAAAAAGAGGAGGAGGAGGAGGAAGAGGAGGAGGAGAAATGATGATGATGATGATGAGGAGGAGGAGGAGGGGGAGGAGGAGGAGTGTCTGGAGGGCGAATCTCTCGCTATTTCGGTCAATGCTGGGGCTGGGTCCTCCAGCGCACGATACTGCCTCCGCGTCCGTGGGTAGCCAGGGACTGATTACGAAGGCCTTACGGCCGGTGTCGCCGACCCTGCAGGGAGACGACGACGACGACAACGGCGGCGGCGGCGGCGGCAACGACGACGACGATGACGTGGGCCAGAGTCCTCAGGGATTGTTTTTGGGGTCTCTTTGGAAGTCTATCGGGGGCCTTTGCGAAGGAGTTTTGGGGCCTCTTGGGAGCCTCTTGGGAGCTTCTTGGGAGTCTCCTGGGGGGCCTCTTCGGGCTTCCTGGGGACCTCTTGTGGGCTTCTTGTGGGCCTCTTGGGGCCTCCTGGGAGCCTCTTGGGGCCGAGGGCTCGAAATGTCCGTTCGGGTCCCCCGTCTGGGCACTCTCTTGTGGGGACCACAGGCCCCGCTACCGTGAAAATCATATGAAATGGGCCACAATGGCCGCAGTGCCAAACAACTGCCCCGGCCCTCGGAAAGTGTCCACCCTCACGAGGATGCTGCCTCCGGCCCGCTCTGTGGGCCAGTTGTGCGTCGGGCGCCCGGGCCTTTGGGAAGTGGCGACCCTCACGAGGACGGTTCCCTTCTGGAGGGGCGGGACGCTTCTGCCGCTCTGTGGGCGCAGTGTGCGTCGCGCATTCATATTTGGGGTCGACGTTTGGGTACTTGCTGCCGTGGGCCAACTGTGCCTCGGGCGTCCCTCTGGAGGAGAAGGAACCCTCTGCTGGCTCTGTGGGCCAATTTTGTGTCGGGCGCTCTGGTCCTTCGGAACGTGGCGACCCTCACGAGGATGGTGGCCCCCTGGAGGGGCTGCATCTAGCTGTGGGTCAGTTGAGGTTCGGGCGCTCCGTGGCCCCTCGGAATGTGGCCACCCTCCGGATGATGCTGCCCCCCTGGAGGAGCAGGAGCCTTCTGCTGGCTCTGTAGGCCAGTTTTGGGTCGGATGCCCTGGCCCCTCGGAAAGTGGCGACCATCACGAGGATGGTGCGTGCCTCTCTGGAGGGACTGAAGCCCTCTAACAGCTCCGTAGCCCTCTGCCCTCTGGTTGTGGTTCGGGCGCCCTGGTCCTTCGGAAAGTGGTGACCCTCACGATGATGGTGCCTCTCTGGAGGGGCTCAAGCCCTCTGCCAGCTCTGTAGGCCAGTTGTGATTCGGGCTCCCTCACTCCTCGAATGGTGGGCGACCCCCGCGAAGATGCTGCAGGAGCCTTCTGCCTGCTCTGTAATTCGGCCAGTTGTGGTTCGGGCGCCCTGGCCCGTCGGAAAGTGGCGACCCTCACCAGGATGGTGCCC